AATTAAAGCTTTGCAGAGCAGCATCCAGGAACAAGTGGTGGAGATGAAACGCCTAGAGGTAGGTATCTGCCACGCAGTTTCCATTCTTTCCAGGGCTTAACTACAGAAAGAGGATCTATCCCATACACTGTACATGGTGAGCAGTGCTCTCTCTGGAAGAAAACATGATGCAGTTCTCACAGGATCTGACTTGCTGAGACAAATGCCCAAATGAGTTGCTTTCAGTGCATCTTGGTTTTCTATTTCTGCTCTGTGGGAACCAGCGTTAGCTCCATAGGACTCCTGGTCCCATCTGCTGCTTCTGCTCTCAGTTATCTGCTGGTAACTGGTTCTGTATGAGGCATTTCTCCTCCTATAAGGAGTTGCTGAGCAGTTAGGAGGTGGACGTGCTCTGTCCATCCCCATGCTGCCACTGCTGCTCACAGCCAGGGCTGGCATTAGAATCTGCATTCCTAAACTAGATTGCAGCCAGTTCTTCTGATGGTAATGCAAGGGAAGGTCCTGGCACAAACAGCAGTTTTGCTCAAAGGCCTATTTTTGATGCCTAAATTAGATATCCAGCATTTGGATCTTTTGAGAAAGCAATGGTAACCCCATAAGGGCAGGCCTCACAGGAGGGCCATGATAGGCTCTGGGACAAGTCCAGTGTCTTCCTCTCTCCTTGGTGATCCCATTTCTGCCCTGGTCCACAGAGGAAGCATTCCCAGCTCTGCAGCAATCCTTCCAAACCCAGGAAGACACCCCTATACCCTGAGAATAAAGGGAGCAGAGACTGGGAACACACTACAGTGGAACTCCATGGCACTCGTGCACTGTGCTATTGCATGTGTTGTATTTACAATGGAAATAAACCTAGGATGATTTCAAAACTGAAAAGTTCATCTGTAGGTGGGAGGTACAAGGGCAGCTCCCATCTTTTCCCTGTTCAGTAAAGGATACCCTTGCTTGAGGAAGCCAGGAAAGCTCCCTAACCAAATTATTTCTCTCTGGTTGTGTAGGTGGACATTGACATTAAGATACGAGCTTGTAAAGGAACCTGTGCCAGAAGTTTTGATTACCAGGTGGACAAAGAAAGCTACGACAACATCCAGAAGCAGCTTGCTCAAGCCAACTCCATCAGCTTGAACCCAGAGCTTGAAACAACCACTCTGAGCACCCTGAAAATGAGGCCACTTAAGGACTCCAATGTTCCTGATCATTTTAAGCATAAGCCTCTGCCAGAAATGCAAGCTCTGAACGTAATCAATGACATCAAGCAGATGCAAGTGGTATTAGAAAGACCAGAAACAGAGACAAAACCCTCCCGAGGCGACAGCCCATATCACATGTCAGAATCAAGGGGGGATGGACCTCCATACACCAGCAAATTAGTTATTCCTACTCATGGGAGGGAAGACAAAACGCACTCCGCTGTTCGTAGATGCACCAAAACTACCACCAAAAAAATTGTCAGTGGCCCTGATGGCCCTAGAGAAGAAGTAGTTGAGAAAACAGTATCTTCTGATGGCTCAGACTGCTCCTATTTACACGGAGCAGGAAATGTTGGAGGGGAAGGGACCACCTACCATTTTAGTGGTGCAGATGGCGTGCACAAGCTAGAAAGGTTATTCCCTGAGCTAGAGTCATTTTTTACCCCTGATTCTGCATCCACTGCTGGTAAGCACATCAGTGGATCTAGCAGCTTTACAACTAGTAGACACACAACTGGCACAGGCAGTACCAGTCATTCAGGGACTTATGGGGCAAAAGACAAATTTGCAGACTTAGGAGAGGCGGAGGAAGATGACTTTGCAGGACTTCACCCATCTGGATTCCCATCTGGCAGTACAAGTCACTCCAAGACTGTAGTGACCAGCGCCTCTTCTAGTTTCAACAAGGGAGGCTCCACTTTTGAGACCAAATCAATAAAGACCCGTGAAATAACTGAGCAGCTAGGTGGGGTGGAACATGATCAGAGTGCAGAGGACACCCCAGACTTTCAGGCACGCAGCTTCAGACCAGGAGTGAAGCGAAGGACAGCCAGCACTGGGAAAGGTAGTTATTGAGGTAGTGGAGCTGAACTCCATTCATAACCAAACTGACACATTTGTTTTAGCTACTATAGTACAAAAGTGTGATGATAAAATGTAAGCACTGTGTCTGTTTTTTGTCACCTTGGAAGCAAAAGAGAAAATATTTCATTAATACTCGGGTATTACATAGACAATTCACAATTTAAGAAGTGTGTAAAGTTTTCTTTTCTGAATTCTTTTTAATGTTGCCTGTCACTATACCTAGTGTACTCCACAACATGTTTAACAATTTTCCCCTGAACTATTGGTATTTGGATTCCTCTGAACCTTTTATTAAATTTTGCTGATATAACTTCTGTCAAACCAGATCAACTTTTTTTTTTAGACTGTGATGATATCCGCCAGAAACACACTTCTGGTGCCAAAAGTGGCATTTTCAAAATCAAGCCAGCGGGATCCAATAAGGTCTTGTCTGTTTATTGCGACCAAGAGACCACTTTGGGAGGATGGCTATTGATCCAACAGAGAATGGATGGATCAGTGAATTTTAACCGGACCTGGCAAGACTACAAGAGAGGTTTCGGCAGCGTGGATGGCAGAGGGCGAGGAGAGTTTTGGCTGGGCAATGAAAACATGCACTTGCTGACTCAAAACGATACTCTCCTTCGGGTAGAGTTAGAGGACTGGGATGGAAATGCTGTGTATGCAGAGTATATCGTACAGGTAGGGTCTGAAGCAGAAGGGTATGCCCTTACTGTGTCTTCCTACGAGGGGACCGCCGGGGACGCACTGATCGCTGGCTGGCTGGAAGAGGGCACCGAATACACGTCCCATGCCCAGATGAAGTTCAGCACCTTCGACCGGGACCAGGACCACTGGGAGGAGAACTGTGCGGAGATGTACGGGGGCGGATGGTGGTACAACAGCTGCCAGGCAGCCAACCTCAATGGCATTTACTACCTGGGAGGCCACTACGACCCCAGGTACAACGTTCCATACGAGATCGAAAATGGTGTAGTCTGGCTGCCATTTAAAGCCTCTGACTATTCCCTCAAAACTGTTAGAATGAAAATCAGGCCCATAGAAACCCTGTAGAAAGACAGGCTTTTAATGTGAGTTACAAGTTGAAAATATTTTATATATATATATATACATATGCATGATGTACCTTTACTCTGTGAATTTGAAGGCAACTGCGTGTATCTGTGACTTAAAAAATAAACAATGATTAATTATTAACAGAAGAGTTCTTTGATTTATTTTTAACTGAAAACCCTTTTCAAGGACATATTGATTTAAAAATCCTTTTAATATGAACTTTTTTCATGTCTTTGTCTATGTCTTTGGTAGCTCACACCTTGAGATAAAAGTATTTATAATTTGAACTATTTACTTTGTTTAGGAGTGCTAAAGGAGTCAAAGAATTTAGAATTATGTTCACAAGATCCTGCCTCCACTAACATGAACTGTGAAAGTCTGACCAAGTTCAACATTCACTATTCTAGGCCATCTCCTCTTATTTCTATTTCAAGGGGGGCACAGCAGCAGTGGGAGTCAGTTCTCAGGCAGAATCGAGAGTGGGTTGCGTTCTCACTCTTGCCACACACATAACATGGAGAACACTTTGACAAACAACATTTTGGGACTGACTTTTAAGGATCTCCTAAGCTTTGATTTTATAAATATATAGACCCTCCATCCCACTGATGAATTTTAGATAGCTTACCACACAAAATTGTGGCTTCAAAATAAGACAGATCCATGATAACTCATCAAAATACAACTCCCAAAACAGGCTGTTATTTTCTAGCAACCACTAAAGAGTTATGACTCTAACCAGCACAAGTAAGATGAGGAGCACTTGAATCTTTTTCAGTACATGTACCAAGCAAAGATTTTTACACAGATAAGGGTTTTAAATCAGGTTGCTGACAGTGTGTGGTAAGGATCTCTTAGAAAAAAAGCTGGCTGCATTGAAAACCAGCTATATTTGTTACACAGTTATACAAGAACATGTTGTATTTACCTTTATACCTTATGATATAAAATTAAACAGGTATTTACACTGTTTAATATTTCTGTGCTTCTACTGAGAAACAAGCGTGAAGAAACTTCCTGGTTTCCAATCTCACTGGCATGTCACATTCGATTTACCAGTATCATCAAATACTGGCAAAGCAGCTCACCTTTAGCCTTTTTTCAGTGCTTCTCAAACACAGCCACTGACTAACCTTTGTGGAAAGTTTGCTGAAGAGCAAAGACCTCTTTACAGTCATGTGTGAAGAACTGTCTTTGCTTTTGGAGAATGGGTTTCTCCTTTACACCTTGTGTTTTGGTTCCTTAGCCTCAGTGGAAGGCCTGCCTGCCGGGATGCAGAACATTTGTGCTCGTGTGGTGAGATGCTGCCATTATGTCTTCTTCTTGTCCTCCTGGGCTTCACAGATTAAGTAAGCACTAGAGGTTTTCAGATGGGACCCCTCCACCTCTAGTGATCTGGATCCCTTCCTTTGTGAAGGAAGGCTGTCCCCTTTGAGAGATGTTGATCCTGTCTACCAGGGCTGGGAAGTCTTGTCTTTGTGTGCTCCAGGGTACCCAGACCACTAGCTCTATTGAAATATCCAACCTTCACCTACCCTGTGATTGGAGTCATTAATTACTCTAGTCCCATAAGAGTGATTGTGTGAAAGACAGACTGTATTTTATTCTACATTAAAAGGATATGGGACGGTGGGAGAGATATTAAAAGGCACAGTGGGTGAACCAGGTCCCAGCAAAGGGCATATTTTATGCAGCATACAGCATATGAGCTGAGTGGTGATCTACCCATTTGTTCAATACTATCTTTTCACTATCTTCCTTCTCAACTGGTTACACAGTTAGTCATTGTTACTTATATAATATAAAAGAAAATATCTTTCTCTTATTTAGGGCAATCCGTTTCCTTCTCCCCAGATTATGCATAAATAATTAGGAATCATGTGAACCATATTTTAGTTTTAAGACTTTAATTTTTAGAAAACATTTTAAAAAAATGCTCTCCCTCTTTAAAAGTAGTAAAGAAGACCTCGGTAATAGAGTGAAACAAGCAGGGTTTAGGGTTTTCAGTGTTATTCCATACTAGTTAATTCTGTCTAATGAACAAATGAAAAATGGAAAAATACACTTGTAAGTTATTTTCATCAGTCAGTTTTTGATTTACATTTGACATAGCTTTTCACTTTGGGTCACAATATGCTTGTACATACATATTTGCTTTTCATGTGTCAAGACAAGCCTGAATATCATGCTCAGAAGATAACCATGTTCAAATACTAAAAGAAAATCCCTGATTCTGCACATTTTGATAATGGTTACTGTGGAAAGTATGGCCGGATTTTCATGCTCATCTTCTTCATGGAATACCATGACCCTTTCCAGTTCATCCATACAACACCATCATCTGTACCATGCTTTGCCATATCCCAGCTGTAGGTCCCTCCCCAGTAGTATCTGCCATTGGGGTTGGCTGAGTGGCAGCGGTTGTACCACCATCCACCACCATCTTCTTTGGAGCACTGTTTTCTTGGGTCTGCAGTTAACCTGATGAGGGGAAAAAAGATGTGTTGAGAGTGACAGATATCATAAAAGCAAACAGGTCAACAGAGTACATATACCTGCCCGTGTACTGAAATTTTCAAACCATAATAAACATTTAAAGTCCTCCCTGAACTCTCTGTAAAAGACTGACCATCACAAGTGTGTGCTACACAGTGCACTTGGAAGCTGAAGCAGCTAAGAAAAAATAATCAAATTCTAGCTGCATCTCTTTGGGAATGTCATTTTAGATTACTGACTGATAACTACAATTACTTGCAGTTCATAGTGATAATTACAATATCAATGAATGGTTGGTAGCTTACAGGGATAAAACATATTTTGAGATATTACGAAAACTAGCATAAAATTGGAGAAATATTCTATATTCAGCTCGATTTTAAGCTTTATTTTTATTTCAAAAGTTTAGTGTAAGTACATACCATCCATCATTGTCTCTGTCATAAGTACTGAAGAACATGCCATTGTGAATTGTCATTGTCCTGTTTTCTCCATGCACTTGTGAAGCTCCGTCCATCAGTGCATTGCCTGCATTGCCTTTGTAGTTACTGACTGAAAGCTGATACTTGTTTCCTTCATTCTGTATGGTGAAACCTCCATAATGAGCTGACACCTTATCACCATTCCAGTCCTCCATTTCAATTAAAACTTCAGTGGGCCCTATTTTGGTCAGCTGGCTGATCTTGTCATTTCCAAGCCAATATTCACCTGAGAAGCAACAAGTGAGAGCTCTGTGAAATAGACTTCCCAATATATTTCAAGGCAACTTTATTATTTTCCTATAGGTCTGCTGAAGTGGATTAGTTAATTTAAAGAAAATCAAAGAGCTTCAAAAAATAGGATAAAACAGTTTCAGCAAGAAGAGCTCTTTGAGTTTCATGCTGTGTGTTTTACCTGGTGTATCACAGAAGTTCTTCCCTCCACTCTTTGCAACATTTCCAAACCCATTTTTATACTGATCCCATCTTCTCCCGAAATTAACGCTGCCATCCTGGCGGTTCTGAATCAAAGTCCAGCCTGCAGGAGCAACAGTATTTAGATTAAATTGCTAGTACAAAAGGAGCATCAATCATTAAGATACAACCTTTCTAACTTCATCTCAGGACAAGAAGAGAATATGGCTTCCTTGCAGCAGGTCATTCACCGCTTATGAGCTCAGCTTTGCCATTTTTGCTCACTCTTAAGTAGTACCTGGCTTCATAAGGAAAGGTGAAAAAAAGCAGAACCTGAAGGAATGCCCTGGTCTTTTGTCTAGTGCATAGTACCAGGGTAAGACATGAGCCAGGCTCTCCTTGTCTGCCCACCTATATATTTTCCATTCTGGCCATACTAAGATACCCATGCAATTTATTTCCAGTTTCCTTATAGAAGTATCCTACTGTGCATCAGCAGATGACCAACAGGACTTTTCTGAATGAGTCAGATTCAGTTCTCAAGTAATTACAAAAGGTATCACTCCATACTTGTTTGTATAAAATGCAAATTACTAATTATTGTTGGTATCATGCATATTAATTAATATTTTAACAACATAGTCATTTCACACTAACCTCCATTATCTGTTTCCATGTCACAGTATACTCTGTATGGTTTGACGAAAGGATCTGGCTGGATGAGGTACATTTCAGAAGTCTCTCCTCCCTTTCTGATTATATCCTCACATTCTGCAAGAACAAACCAGAGATTGTTACTGGAACAGCTGTGAACTTCTTCAAATATCTTCTTATCCTTTGGTTTGCTGATTATAAGGGAAAAATTTTAAATATACATATTATTATTCTATTTTCATTTTGATTTCTGTGATACATCAAGTAAAAGAATGAGGGAAGAAAGAACAACAATGCACCTGCATTGTTCAGCTTTTCCAAATAGGAATTTCTAGAACTTCAAACTGAGTAGTGGAAGAAGTGTATACTTTACAATTAATTTTTGAACTAGACAATCTTGTGAAAGAAGAACCAACTTTCCTTGACTGAAAAAAATTAAAGAGTACAACTATGATAGTCACAAATGTATCACCTCCACCTTACAAAGACACTGAAGCACATATTTCTTTAAAATGCTACTGGTTACTTATGAAGACTGACATGGGATAAGAGGATTTTTGGTCTAACCAATATAGGCATCCATAGAAGTTTTTTTTTTTTTAATCTAGGATCACTTTCCATCTTTTCTGCTATTCTAATCAATTGCACAGGCTTCACAAACCAATTGAATGATGCATCTATCAGTTTTCACAGTGATATAAATGGGAGAAAAGATGTCATAATAGTCGAATGAGTACCTTTGCCTGAAACCACTGGAATATTACAGGAAACAACACATGGGGAACGGCAGTAGTCCACCTGCGTTGCAATGGCATTTTCCAGCTTTTGTATCTTTTTGTGTAAAGAATCCACAACTGCACGAAGGACCCTGAGACTAGATGGGATGTTATTGTCCAGATTATCCTTTATATAATTGTAATGCAATTCCACTTCTGTGTTGTACTGAGAAAGTAAGTCCTCATTGTCTAGGAAAGCAAAGAGATGAAAAGCAAATGAGTTATCAACATATTTTCCAGTTAGGAAATAAAGAGCAATCTTTAAGTACAATTTAAGATGTCACTTCTTTCCTTAGCAGGGAGGAAGGATAGGTATTTCTTTTGTTTAATTTTCTACTGTGTGCAAAAACTATGCAGATATTCTCAGGAAAGTGGTACACCTATACTGTTGTTTCTTTGCTAGCTAATAGATTTATCAGTGGTGCTATCTTCTGCCAAAGGCCTATAATTCACTTCTTTCTGGGGAACCATGGTGCCAAGCCAGAGGCTGGTCATAAATGGATTGGATGGACATAGGAAAGCAGGTAAGGGGGTACACATGACCCTTACATTTATAGGCCTTATATGAATCTTGCCTTAGTTGAGATCCATTCATTTGCCTCTCTCAAAGGTTTTTTTAAGAATTAAGAGGACCTGGTAATGAAAACCTGCTTTGAAGATATTCCGCTGTATTTTTTTTTTTCCTCAAGTCCCACTAACAAGTAACTGTAGGAATGCCAACAAAACTCTAATACCATTTATACTAGTAATTAATAGAAATAGCATACCTTTTCTTTGTTTTTGCCTCTTTACCAGTTTATCTTCTAGAACAGTCACATATTCGAAGAAAGTTGAAGAGCTTTCAGACAGTTTGCTCACTTTATCTTTTAGATCACGAACGACTGGTTTCACACTCTTTTCCTGTTTTAGCAGTGTAGTTTGCAGCTCGCATCCAGTTGGACACAGCACTCCCTTAAAAGAAGCAAAAAGGACTGTGAATAAAAGTCAAGATAAAAAAGTTCTAATCCCATCAGTGAACAACCCATTAGAAAAAAATTTCTAATTCCATCAGCAGCTTTGAATGCACTGAAGAGTTTATAATGTGAGACCAGATATTTAAGCATCTAGATAAGGAATCAAGACATTCAACTTGTGCAAAGAAGCTGCACTCTGAAGGTTGGGAAGGAGACCCGAGTCCCTCAGGAGCACTCTTTTTTTAAGGCTTTTGAGAAAAGCCCTCTCTCTTCACACTTATTTTGGTCCCCTATATGTTTTTCCCTTTTCTGCACTGTTAAATGTTCACTGTGTTAAGCTACCCGGACTATGACTAAAGCCTGTCAGGAATTACCTGGTCCCTGTGCATGTTTATGTCTACCCCTTCCCTCTCTAACAGGCCTGAGAGAATCAACCACATTCTCTACACGTTGTATGCATCTCTCATGAAATGACCATACGATCCATTAAAAAATTTTCACCTCAAGAAGCTGAGCACCATTGCTTCTACAGCAGGTGCCACACCATCAAGGACAGCAGTGTTTTAAAAAGAGATGGGAAATTCTGACATCCCATGAGAACCAAAATACTTAGGCAGCATGGGACTCTACCGCAACCATGTATTCACTAAGCTTTAACAGATGTCATTTGCTGGCAACTGTCACACTCAAATTTGCTCTCAGACAGTAGGATGTCTCTCAGCACTTGCAGCTTGCATTCTCCAGCAGGGAGCACAGGAGGGACAGTGGGATAGACTACTGCAAGGCAGCAAGGTGTGTACTAGATCTCAGCGTGCTTGTATGCTCTTCTGTAAGAGAGTTGGGACAGTGACTTATGGCAGGCTATAATTACATCTCAAAACTAATTTTAAGAAAGACAAGGGAGGTTGACTTTTTTTTTTTTTTGGTCCCTAGGGTTCCTTAAGATTATCTGAAATTGAAGCCAGCACTTCTGCAGAGGTTTTTCTGTCCTTAATAATTACCTATGCAGAGCCACATGGAAGGTACAGGTTAACCCACAAATACTTCCTTTCCTCACTTACAGTTCAACTCCCATGTCCCCATCTTCACTGTAGGCAGACTCTGCAACTAATCCCATGGACTCTGTGACATTACCTTTCTGAATGCAGTCCTAGCAAACCCAAGCAAAATGGAAAAAAGGTGGACTGCTTTAAATGAACAACTGCCCCCTGTTTGTCAGAGAAAACTCTCTGTTGGGTGTACTAGAAGAAAAGGACAGGCAGACACCTACCATCTCCTCCAGGGCATGCTTGCAGCCGCCAGCATCGGGATAGACGATACGCTCTTTCTTTTCCCCCTTCTTGTCCGGTTTTTGGGGCCGGCGCCGGTATCCGGGCCCACTGATGGGAGGCGCCACAGGTCGGAGCGTGGGGGCCATTTCCCGCCTCTTGTCCACAGGCCGGTGGCCCCGAACGTCGACCACAGGGGTGTCATCCTGCAGAGTCAGGGGGAGAGAAAACTCTCTGAATCTGGGATTGCTACTGTAAAATGGGATGCACAGGGTGGAGGCATCTGTTCAGCACTCTGTTATTTTAAACAGCAAAGAAAGCCTTGGAGTGGAATGAAAAAAGCCGTAACAGAAATATTACACTGATGTTATGTAAAAGTCATTGCTATGCATTCCCTTGTAAGACTAATCACACTCGCTCTACCTAAATGCAGATAAACTGAAAAGTCTTCAAACCTAAGTAAATCAATATTTCAGTAGCCAATTTTCACCAAGGAATAAATTTCATACAGTTCAGAGACGCTAAGCACCATGAAGCTTGAAGCAGTAGGATATAAAAAAAAAAAGTCATTAGAAATCCTTGAGGCTAGGAAGCATATTCCACAGCACATTATCAGTGTCACAGTTTTTTATTGGGCTACAGGGATATTTGTAAGGCCTCAGAAAATCAGGCCACAGTCAAATATATCATGAGGTCTCAGGCCACATGCCAGCTGTTAACTGATGAAATTAGGAAATGCAGTCAATAACATATGTCAGAGTAGGATATCACAGCCCCCTCTGATGCATACATTCCCCACATCTGCCAGAAATGGGAACACCTAAAAGGATGATCAGGGAAAACAGGCCTGGTCCCTATGCACTTGTTCAAACTAAACCATTTGAATTAATAGTTGTTTGAATTACTGAATCAAAACCTATGGCCATCTCCAATCCCACTCAGACTTAGCTACAAATAACAAACATTTGTAAGGATCCAGGATTAGAAGCTTCAAGTGGTTTCAAAATAGGCAGCGTACAAAACACAGAACAGCTGAAAATTATTTAACACATCAGTGTTTTCAGTAGTCAATGTACAGACACAAATACTTAGACTGTATAACAGAAAATCTGACTGCCCTGACCTATTTCATTTTTGCAGGGATTTTTGAACCATAAAAAAATGTACCAAGATTCTAAATTGTGTTTCCCCTAAAATAACAAAAGTAAATATGTTAAGCCAAATCAAATATGTTTAGATTGATTACTCTTTTGTTTAGCAATTGTTACCACTCTATTTCCAACGTAAAACTAGATGAACTGGCAGTTTATTTGATTTTGCTTTTTTTCAATGTCTGCTGGATTACTAGAAAAGTTTTTACTGTCTTTGAGACAGGACATGATTAATTACACATTTCTACTTCTTTGCACCTAAGACTAATTGTTTGTTACAACATAAGACAACAATACTAAATTAATATCCTTAAATACATTTGGCTAATATAACTAAAATAACTAATCTTACTATCAAACATTCCTTCATTCCCTAGAGAAAAAGAAATAGGAAGAAAATATCTCCAAACTCAGAAAATAACTATTGTGCAGTTATGTATATAAAGGTTACTTTTTTGAACACTTCAAGCAGAGAAGAACACGTGCTGGATCGTCTTTTCCCACAGCTTCTAACTTAGCTAACTCACATGAGCGGAGTAAGTCATGCATGCAATTAAATTAAATTAAATTAATTATTATTTATTAACCAATATCAGTATTACAACCTCATCGTCATAGTCAGTAGAGCCTTGGGGTCTAACGGAGGAAACACAGAGCAGGAACAGCAGGAGCAGTTTCATGGTGCTGGCTTGCTTGAGCAACTCAAGGACCTCCTCTCAGCAGCAGCTCTGACAGGGAGAGGTCCCCTCCGTTCCTATATATACTGGAGGCAACACTGATTTCCTGCTTCATGGGGATAGGACCAACCCTTCTGAGCAATCACTGCTTCTCTGTTAATGTTCAACCTTTCTTTCCCCTGTGTGCCTGGATACACGTTGTTGAGCAATTTCTCTGGACGACCCTTATCTATATGTCCCGGAGACCTCTGTTGATGCTGGCATCAAATACATGTTCAAATTCTTAAAAGTACCTCCTGCTCAGATTACACAAGGTTATCGTTTTCTCAAAAATCACAAGTCTTTTAAAATAGCAAATCTTTGGGTCTTTTTACATGCAAGTGAAAAAAAAAGTTTACTATATTAATTACATTAATAGTTTTGAATGAAAGCTGTAAGCATAAACCAACATTTTTCAGTTACTTTTGCCTTCTAGTATTGTAAATGAACTAAACCAATTATATTTTACATATTAGTTTGCTGGTTTCCTTTTTTAATACAAAAAGTATATCTGTCAAATATTATTTAAATATTTTAAATAATCTTTTAAGAGAATACAGCATGAAGTTACTCAGAATCATAGTGGAATACTCAGACATCCTTTCTGATGTTTTATAAGAGGTTGCATATCACTGCTCATATTAGCAGAGTTTTAACATTTCAGTGTTTTTATCCTGTGATTTTCTCATGCATTATAAATGATTATCGTGTACTGACTTAAATAAAACATGCCAAGTGAGAGCCAGCACACTTCTTTGAAGTCATTCACATTGATATCTAAACACATGAAGGGACACAAACTGTGGTGTGAACTGCCATTTCAAAGACTTACTTGATGGAGTGGAAGATTTTACGGAAAGCAAAAATAAGAACAGCTAAAATTGATTAGTTTTCCTGTATTTGTGCAGTTGTCAGAATTCTAGTAAACTACGGAGGTTCACGAAATATGAAAACTGTTTAACCCGACCGGTTTAATCATTAAACAGTTTGGACCAAAATCAGCCATGGCTCAAGGAGCCCTAACTCTGCTGAATTTGATCTCTTGCATGAGGACATGACCACCACTATTAGATTTGGAAGAACACAAACTTCTCCCTATAGGCATTAAAGAAATCTGTCTAAGGCCAATCCTGACATCATTAACATGTTACTTCCACGTATGGATGCTAGCCAAGATATTATCGTTGATTCTAGGTATCTCGTAACCTTAAAGCAGTTTTCCCTCCATGTACCTCTGAGGGAAGTTCAGTCACCCTCATCTTACATGTAAAGAAGGGACATAGTCATCTTGAACCCTTGCCCAGGGCTAAGGGGTAGCTTGTGGTACAGCAGAACTAAAACTAGTCCTGAGCTAGAAACTTAAATTATCCTGGATCAGTTCACACAGATCTTAATTAAATATATGATATTTGTCTTAAATCCATTTTGAAACCATGAACATGTTCTTACGTAACTTGTGGTCCCCTCCTTCAGGCATTAAGTCCTCTTTGGCTCCCAATGAAGAAGTGTGGCTGTGTCTGTGTAGAGTGTGTTGGAGGCTGGGTGACAGGGGAACCCTCAAGCCACCTGCGGAGTCCCAGCATGGGAAACCCCTAGGCTTATTTTGCCTCCAGATGGGATTTTCCCTTTGAAAGGCAGCCTTTGACCCTCCCAGCTCCAGTACTTTTCATCAGCTTCCCAAAGAGAGTTGAGTGGTTGTGTTTCCCCAAGGATTTACCATAGGCAGCACGTGCATGTCATACCACAGCAGGTTTGCACCTATGTGCCAAATGACCAGATGCCCCAGGGCAGGGGCCTTGTCTACACTGCAAATGTTTTGCCTGGAGACTTTTATCAGCAAAATCAGTCCAAATTTGGAATGGTATACAGAGGATTCTATGCAGGCAAACATACACATATAGAGAGAAAAGTGTTTTGGCAGCAGAAGATAACCTGTGTTAGCATCTTGGTTAAGAGATGTGATTTTTCTCTCATGCTTGCAGTCATTACAGTCAGGCTGATGCTTTCTAAGGATTGAATGAAACCTTACGAAGAACCAAAACTGTGGCTTAGATTTCCTCTAAAAATGATATCAAAGAGACTTTATCTTCAAAGCAGAGCAATCTATCTTTTTCCCTTCATACTCCCTCCTCCAACTCGTGGTTAATGAGAAAGAGTTCCCAGAGTTACCGTGGCAGTGTTACCACGACACACATGCTAGAAACTGCAATAATACAACCCAGATCCAGTGGTGTTCCAGGACACCCCTTTGTACAGAATCTTTGTACTAAAGAGGCACTTACTGGCAGAAGCGTGTGTGTGTTTTGAGGAATGGCTATTTGCTTGCTGCCCCCTGTGTTTGTTGTGCCAAGGTGTCTGCCAGTGAGGCAACTCTTTACACAAACCTCCTGTCCTTAGGGGAGTCGCGGTCACCGGATCATGGCTGAATGTACCCCCGAGGTGGTCTTGGGAAACTGAACCTTTTTGGCTGATGGTGAGCTATAGTATTTGCTAATTTTAATTTAAAAATAGACGTTGATTTAGAAATGTCCTTTTAAACAACTAGTGTTGTAATAGTGTCATCCTATGAAAAGAGTATTGTAAACCTTAATGTTCATCTCCGCTGTGATGAACATGCTCATTTCTTTTACTGGCAGCATTTACATTTGCTTTTACTGGCAGCAAATACTATTTCAAATGTTTCTCATAAATGATAATCAATGTTTTCTCCATGTTCTGGGAGCAAACAAGTTCTAAAACATTAGTAAGTGGGCCTTAATACAACACTAAAAGCTCATGCAAATTACTGGTCACCTTCTACAAAGTAGTGCTTATAAAAAAGTTCAGATTTTGCTATTTTCAGAATTGCAGCTGTAACTGACATGCAAGAACACATCAAAACTAATAAAGTGCATATTCTTATTAATATTATTGACATGATTTATTGAAGTTTCAGGACTAAATTTCAGCTTAAAAAAATTATTACAAAGACATACCATTTCTATGCATCAAATCCACCAATCAGTCAACTAACTGATCAGCAGGCTCATGCTACTCTGTGTGTAAACTTGGGGGGAAAAAAAAAAAAAAGACAAACCTGTTTGAAATCCCTTGCCCCCCAAATTTCCTTTTAAATGTTGTGTGTCTTCGATCTAACCTCACCAACCCAAGAGGACATAACAGACTTGCCCCATTTTGACACGCTGCCCTGTGGAGTTTGCACTCCAGGTTGCACTTTAAGCAAGGGCAGATGATGCTCCCCCTCCTTGAGGTGTTGTGCTGACCTTTACTAGGGGCTTTGAAATCCAGCAGGGATTGCCAGCATCACCAGGGTGACTACCAAAATAGGTTGTCATGTTAAACACAACCCCTGGATGGCTGGGCTTGAAACTGAGCTGGCAATACTCTGCACTGTTAGTGGCACAATGTAACTGACACCTTTCCCCCACCTCTACCCACACCAGGAACTGGGGGGTCAAAGACACTTGGAGCACATTTTCATCACTGTACCTTAAAAAACGAAATAGAAACCACCAATGCAGCCGTGAGAAATGGGTCAACTGCAGAAAAGACACGGTCATTATGTTAAGCCGGCAATTTTTGTGTCTGAAAGAACCCCAGGCTAATGCTGTCCTGTGGCAAATAACAACTGTAGCAAAAAATAACTAGTGTTCCACTGGATTACTTTTGGCCCAAATCAGTTTGTGAACTGTTCACAGATCAGACATGCAGACAGACAGAGTAAGTGGTTGGTGTAGTGGTAAAGAAGAGCATCATGATGGTGTGACTGCAATAGATGTGCGTGCCAAATCCCAGCTATTGCTAGAGAGGACATGACTTCCTGAATTTAAGAGCAAATGAGTATATGTGAAGTAAGTAGGTGCCTATTTGCAATTTGCAGATGCACGTGGTTATTCTCCTTATGAAGGGAAATAAAAAATCAGGTGGAGTATCAGGATACATTTGGAACAGAACTGTGACATCTGCCCTTTCTCAACCTACACTTTGCCATGAGGTGCAGGGCTTGCCAGCTCGTTCTCATGCCTCAGTCTCCATCAAAAGGAGATCCTTCTGACCTAAACAAAAAGACCAGCTATAGTGGCTGGCACCCCACAGCGCACCGGCTCTAAACCGTGTGGCTTTATCCTTGAGGGGAAAAGGAAAAAAAAAAAGCTTAAAAGCTGTAGCTGCACGACCTACAACAAGAAAAGCCGAGAATTTCTGTACAACCGGGCTGACCGGGGCATACGAAACCCCTCAGGGTGAGGGAGCGGCGCACCCGCCTCACCCGCCCCGGGGCGGGCAGCGAGGCCCCAGCCGCCTTTCCCACAGCCGAGCACCGCCCTCTGCCGGCCGGGCCCGGCCCTGCAGCGCTGCCCCGGGAGCGGGGCCGGGCCGGGCACCTCCCCCGGGCACGGAGGCACGGGGTGGGGACGGCTGGAAGGGACCACGGCGGGGCATCTGCCCCAACCTGCCCTGCTCCAGCAGGGTCATCCTAGAGCGCGTGGCACAGGATTGCGTCCAGGTTGCGATACCTCCAGTGAGGGAGACTCCGCCACCTCTCCGGGCAATCTGTCCCTGTGCACGGTCACCCGCGCAGTGAGGCAGTTCTTTCGCGTGTTCAGGTGGAACTTCCCGTTTCTGCCCGTCGCCTCTCATCTTGTCGCTCGGTGGTGCCGAACCGGGCTCCGTCCCCTGGGCACCCCCCCCTCCCATCCCTCTTCCCCGCGACTTTAGATATTTATCCACTTTTTTAGGAGGTGACAAGCGGTACTCGAACCCGCGATCCCCGGCACACCGGGTGGGAAGGGAGAAAGGGGGTGTGTGTGTGGGGGGGTGTGTGAGTGCCATAACCCCGCCCCTCCCGTGGCTGTGCCCGCCCCCGGGGCGCTCGTCGCGCGTCACCTCCGCTGCGGCGCGGGCAGGCGGCGGAAGCGCCTCCATAGCGGCGGCTGGAGCGGCGGGGTCTCGGCGGGATCTCTGCGGGATCCCGGCGGCGCCATGGCGGAGGTGAGGGGCTGGAGGGCCGGTGAGGCGCCCCGGGGGAGACCAGAGGGCGGGGCCGGGGCCAGGTCAGCGATGGGGAGTGGAGCCCGTGCGGGGCCCGGTGCCGGGCATGAGAAAGCGCCGCCCCGGGCCCGCCACCGTCACAGCCCCCTCGGTGGGACAGGCCGCTGGAGGAGAGGAGACTGAGGGGAGACCTCGTCGTAGTCTGCAGCTTCCTCACAAGGGGAGGAGGAGGGGCAGGCACTGATGTCTTCTCTGTGGTGACCAGTGACAGGACCCCAGAGAAAGGCCTGCAGTTGTGTCAGGGAAGGATTTCCCTAAGATATTAGGGAAAGGTTCTTCACCCAGAGTGTGGTTGGGCACTGGAACAGGCTCCCCAGGGAAGCGGTGACAGCACCAAGCCTGACAGAGTTCAAGACGCGTTTGGATGATGTTCTCAGGCACACGGTGTGACTCTTGGGAATGACCCTGTGCAGGGCTGAGGGGCGGGCTGGATGATCCTTGTGGGTCCCTTCCAGCTCAGCATATTCTGTGATCCTGTGTTTTTGGGGAAATGATGCTATTTGGCTCTGTCAGCCTGTCAGGAAAACCATAGGGGTTTGGTGAGGGTCTGGAGGTACAGCTGTGGAGAAGGGCACTGGTTTTATAGGCCGTGGAGTTGTTAACTGTGGGGTGAATGTCGTGCACTTCTAAAAGCACATAGTGTTGTCAGGGTCATAGAAGAAGGTGCAAAGGCTGCTGCCCCATGCAACACTAGGAGCTGTTTTTTACAGAAGAGCATCTGTCAAAGAATACTTGCAGAAGCTTCTTCCCTGTTTCGGAGGCACTGTGTTACCTACTACTACTCGTTTTGTGATGCCAACAGCTCTGTTGTTGAGTAGTAGTTAGCTGCGGTGATGCTTATCTCTTTCTTTGGGTGTATGAAATTCCTAACCCAGTTCCAAGCGTTAAGGATTTTTTCACTTGATGCCTGGAGTTTGCAGGAGCTCTCTGAGCCAGGGCAAGAAGTGCAAGGTGTAAGTGCTGCTGAGTCAGAAGGGTAACAGACACTACAAAACAGGCTGATGAGTGAACAGACCATTTTCAGGGCAGGAAAACAGAACCTACAGAGGTTAACAGGGAAAGCACCTGCAGAGTGCCTCTTGAAAGCTGGCCAGCTGAGTGATACTTGGTGCCAGAAGTTACTAATGTAGCTTCGAGTTTGTTGCCACTGTTTTTATTGACATACGGAACATGCAGTCATGCAGAGCTTTGTACCAAAGGAATCAGGCTCAGATTTTTAATGATTTTTTTAAAGTCATTCAAAAGAAAATATTAATAAAAGCGTGAGTTGTGCTGCTGATAAGTAAATATGCTGTATAAGTTGATAGGTTCTTTATTTCCTACATATAGACACAGAACTGTCAATGATGAGGGGAAAAAGCTTCTGTACTCATGGATTTGTGATGTAGATACCAGTTCAAAAAGTTTGAACAAACCATTTGGTTTGCTTTTCAAAGTTTTGTCAGTTTTCAAGAAGGGAATATTGTTTTGAATAAACACTGAAGTAAAACAATTAACAGATAAACTTAATTTTTTAGTTTCCAAGAAGAGAAGTGTTTTCTGTGAACTAAACAGTTGCACACCATCTCACAATACTGAGATCTGAAATTGATTCTCAGTTTGATTTATGTTTCAGTTTTCAGTTTTTCATTTAAATATGTCCAGAGGTATTTAAATGCTCTTTTCTTTATTTTAGGAAGTCCAAAAGCATTCTGTGCACACACTTGTGTTCAGGTCTTTGAAGAGAACCCATGATATGTTTGTAGCTGATAATGCCAAGCCCATCCCATTAGATGAAGAAAGGTAAGTGCTGCTGCACTCACTGGAGTTTAAGACTGTGTTAATGATTGCTCCTTCCAAGTCAGAAATTCAGGTGTATCTGTAGTGTTAACAGTCTTGAGAGAAAAAAAATATTAGAAGAGTAAAGTAAGTTTTATAACATCCTCTGTAAAGTATTTCTAAACTTAATAACAATTCTGAAGCTGGGGTGTGATGAGGACCATGCTTTGCTCTTCCAACAGTCACAAAGTGAAGATGGCAGTGAAGCTGCGGACAGAGTACGGCTCAGTGCTGCACATGCCGACTCTCAAGGAGAACTTGAGAGAGAAGGGAGGCACGAACACCGGGGATCCCTATGGACACAAACAGTACCCTGCAAATCAAGGTTCGTTTGCTCTTAGTGGTGTATTTGCCTCTTCTTTTGTAACAGTCTCACTGACACAAAATCCAAACAACGCAGTCCAGTGTTAATCCACTGAAGATAAATATGGAAATCAAAGTATGTTTTTTGATTGGTATTCTTCTGGCTAGGGTCCACAGGGGTAAGTGATCCAGAACAAGAAGGAAGTTTGTTTTAACAGGTGCTGTGGATTTTTTTATAGTGATTTATTACTAAAAAGTAATTTTTGATAACATAAGTGTGTGCTGCACTCAGTTGTTAAAGATGAGTAATGTATTTCTCTTTTTTGCAAGTTCATGATGATCAAGGGCACACTCTTTTTTTAAAAATTTTGTTTCGTAGTATATTTACAGCCTTTTAGACTTAAAATTTCTAAACCAGAAAACTCTGTATTTCAAATCTGCAGGTTTTTTAATCTATATTTTGTAATGTGTAAAATATGTTTATATTAGGTAGATCCCATGTAGAAATTTCTCTTCTAAAGGGGGCCAAATGCTGCCTCATTTTAGTTGAGATAGTTGATATTTAGTTGAGATTTTGCCTAAGGTACTTTATTTGTAAGCAGTGTGAAAGATGTTGGGAGATAATGACAAATATTTGAAGAAGAAAAGAACCTTTTTCAATTCTGACAGCACAGACAACCAGTTGTCTTGACTAGCTTACATTTCAGAAATTGTGCTGTTTGTGTACTTGAATCCTTTTCCATGATAATCTGCTTCAAAAGGCAGTATGAAGATTTTTCTCGAGTCCCTCTTGATAACACATAGTCTCACAATTTAATTATTTTTTATAGCTGAGTTTTAGAAAATGGAGGTAACTGGAGCAAATTAAATTAATGAAAATGAGAAATGTCCAAGTACATTGGAAGTGGTTACTGGTGTCTTCTGCTATGTATGACTTGCTCTGTTTTCCTCTGTTTACTATTTGAGTGCATTTTTTGCAGTGCAGTATAAAATGTAATTATTAATGCAACATGTTGTTGCTCTTTAGGACAAGAAGTTGAGTATGTGGTAACTGGTACACACCCATACCCACCTGGGCCTGGTAAGTAAAATTTTGCAAGTGTTTGCATGGATTTTTTGGCTTCCTTTATGAACAAGACATCCTCCATCCTAGCAGGAACAATGTTCCTCTTGATGTGAATCCATACTTGGTAGTAGTGGATAATGCTATTCCATTCTTTCATAGTATTCATACTGAGAGTTTTATGGCTGGTAAATGTTCTGGGATAGGAGGTGGGAGGAGGATTTAGGTACAGATGCAGCTCACTGAGCCTTAGTGGACGTGAGCTTTCTGTCATCGTTCGAACGGTCATTTTGTTCTGTGAGGTTTCACCTCCCTGGTAACATCACCACAAAAATGTTCTAGGAATCTCCTCTCCCAAGACCCACAGATCTGTGGTTCCTCCTCTGTTGTGCCCAGAGTTGCTCTTAGTATTTGCTGTGAACAAGGAGCATGATATATTCCTTCTTGTCATTCAACTGCCTTCACACCAGAAGGAATATATCATGTTTTTCATCACCGGAGCAGAAAAGTGTAGATTTCCCCACCTTGCTTAGGAGGAAGAGATGTTAGAGTCTAATAATTTTAGTGTAGTTTGTATTTGTCTGTGCTTGGAAGGGTTATGGTTCTGTGTTGGTACACTGGCCACTGCTAATTGTCACTGTTACTGATGATTCCTGCTTTGTTCTTTTGACAGCTTAGTTTTAGCTGCTTATCTTTTATTGTGCTTAAGTGTATTACAGTTACAGTGGAAAATCTGTTGTGTCTTGGTTTGTAAGTTAACAAATGTGAGTGTTCAGTGGACCCTCAACCATTTAAAAAGCATGCATGGTTGCCTGTAACTGCGGGATCAAGACTTTCTCACATTGGTTTCCTCAAGTTTAGTCTTCCTTTAATAGAATCATATGTCGGGGTTAAAAATCAGATTTCTTTTGTTGCTGTTTCTTGTTTTAATCTGAGTATCTTGCCCAAATGTTGGTTTTGTCATCAACTGGCAGAATTTAGCCTAGGAAGAAAAATAAAGCAATGAGTTAAATTCACCAGTGTGCACCAAAACTATATTTTGCAAAGAGTTTTTTGGTAAAAGTGATCTGCTGTTCTTGAGATAAGGTTATGAATCCTAAGATGTAGTCTGAAATTCTCAGTGGGACTCAGAGCTTTTGTAGTTCTGGCACCACTGTGTGATGCCAACCACCACACAGGGATGGCATAATAAAGTGTACAAAAGGGCCTAAGTTAGCAGATTCTTCTCAGGATCATGTTCATTTCTGTGATGTTTGGATTTCCATGCAGTTGAAGCTGGATAAAAAGATGGATGGTGCTCCTAGTTAGACTTTTTCTGTTTCCAACACCAGAAACATTGATTTCTACTCTAGAAATTGTGTACTTTCATGTGTAGTAGAATCAAGGTGGAAAGGATTTGGGCCAAAATAAAGATTGCAGTAGATTTGACTTGCATGTGAAAATGTCGTTGAAGGGTGAGGTTTAATATTACAGGCTTGTGTCAGGCCTTTGTTTACAGTATATGTGTGCATATAAATATGTTTGTATAATACACTTTTAGAGAGTTTCTGTTTAATGGAGTTGTCTTTGACATGTTATTTCTCTTCAAGGTGTGGCTTTGACAGCAGATACAAAGGTCCAGAGGATGCCTAGTGAATCTGCAGCACAGTCCTTGGCTGTAGCACTTCCTGCTTCTCAGTCCAGGTACTGCTGTGTTACCCCATTACACTGTTGTTATCTACTGGGAATTTCAAGGCAAATCACGGAAGCTGGGATAAGAGCTACTGAGTAATTCAAATATTCTAATTTTAAAATGTTCAAAGAAACTGCTTTTAATGTAGCCAGGCATTCTTTTCTGTACCCTTTTTTTTGTGTGTCAGGAAAGGCAATGGGCAGCAGCTGGGACAAGGGAAATTCTTTTTAGACAGAAGAAAAAAATGTGAGGCTTTGTAGGTGTCCTGTATCTTGAGGTGGTCAGGCCCTGGGCAGGTTGCCTGGAGAGGTTGTGGACTCTCCATCCTTAGAGGTGTACAACACTCAACTCATGCAGCCCTGTGGTACCTTACCGCTCAGTAGGAGAAAGCTGATTGTAATTCAGCAACCATTTTCATTCAACCTAGGTTGGATGCAAATCGGACAGCTGCTGGTGTGGGTGAAGTTTACAGGCATGCTGGAATGTCCGAGCGTTCACAGCCTCCTGGGATGTCCGTGGTGAGTCTGTTGCACATCTAATGTGAAAAGTACACGGTGTTGACCAGATTGCTTCTGAATCCATTTGTGTGTTGTGTGGAGGTCTCCTGACTGACTAAATTTAATCAGTGGTGAGAAGTCAAGAGTGAGAAGCCTTTAGGTTTTGGGCAAAGAGGTAAGCTACAAAGCATAAGAGTAACCTTCCTTTTAACTTACAGGCTATGGTGGAAGCTGGTGGAAACAAAAATTCTGCATTAATGCCAAAGAAGGCTCCAACCATGCCCAAACCCCAGTGGCATCCACCATGGAAACTGTACAGAGTAAGTTACAAATGATATGACGTGAACATGCATGTAAAAGTAAGAGAATACTTTATGTTCTATAAAGACATCAAAGCATAATTTTTCTTCTCATTCACAAAAATGAAATTAAATGAAAAGTGATTGCAAATAAGTTATATACTCACACTCTCCTCAAATAACAAAGATGTTAAATTACAAACATTTTTTACTCTTTTGTAGCTGTACTGTGATAAATTCGGTAGAAAGTTTGTTTTTTCTTTTCAAATGAGTTTCTTTGGTGGAGGAACTCAAAGACAAGGTGCAAAATTCAGAACTAATAAAACATTGAAGAAATACTCTAGCACTGTTAATGTGATGAAGTTGTCTCTAAAACAATTAAAAGCACTCAGTAAATGAATCATCAAGATATTAGATAGTTTAGATATTTTAAAATATATATTATATAGTTTAGATAAAAATATAATATATTATATATAAATATAACATAAAATAATATAATAATATATATAATATTATATAAAAATATAATAATATGTAAAATATATATTATATAGTTTAGATATTTTATATATTATATAGTTTAGATATTTTAAAATTTAACTTTTCTGGTGCACCCTTTTGAACATGTTTGTGAGTTTTTTTCTGGTTCTTACTATGAAATTGAAACTATTCCATATTTTGTCTGAAGAAGGTTGAATTTACTTTAAAAATGTTATGCTTTCCTGATATTTTAAAATCTCATGCTCTAGTATCAGAATTGTATTGGTCTAGCACTGTTTATCTGAATATAGCACCATATATAGGTATTTACATTTTTAGAAGAGTCTTAAATGCTGTATTAGTTAGAAATCTGAAGGCTAATCTTAAAAAGTAGTTTTTGAATGCAGCAGTATTGGAATGTGTTTGCTATAAAAATTAAGACAAATGCCATTTGAAAGAAATGGCACCAAAATAAACCCATGAGAGATTTAAGGTAAACAAATGAAAAATGCCTACTTTTTAGGAGCACTTTCTTTTCAGAGAAATACTGTAAATACAGTTCAAGTCACTGTACATACACATATGTATTCTACATATAAACACTTTCAGTGAAGGTTTGTTGTCAAAATCCTTGCTTAACAGGACAAAAGCTTGTTTAGACAACTCAGAAATAGAAGCATAGGTGGAACACCAAATGGGGGTTTCATCTATGTGTTGCTTAAGATCTACATGTTAACCACTTTTCCTAAATGCATTTTGAAGTTGTTTGTGAAAGATAGAATCATAGAATTAAGTGGGTTGGAAGAGACCTCCGAGATCATCAAGTCCAACCCTTGATCCAACCCCACTGTGATTACTAGATCATGGCACTCAGTGCCACATCCAGCCTCGTCTTAAAAACCTCCAGGGACGGTGAATCCACCGCCTCTCTGGGCAGGCCATTCCAATGCCTGATCACCCTCCCTGTAAAGAACTTTCTAATATCCAACCTAAACCTCCCCTGGCAGAGCTTAAGATGGGGACTTAAAATAGGTCAGATGAATAATTTCTTAGATTTTTCCCCAGAAATGCCCATTTCTATTCCTATACTAGGAAGAACTCTAGGCAGCTATCTCAAATGCTTGTGGCTGTGATCTCATGATCAGAAGAATCCACTTTAGCTTTCCAAAGTATTTCTGCCTAAGAAGCTTTGTTGAGTTTTATGTCTTTTGAAATGAGCTGTATGAACAGTACATGAAATATGACATTCAGTGAAATCACAAGTTTTGAGTTTAGCTGTCTGACTTCGGAGAAACGAGAGAAACAGAAAGGCTGCTGGAAGCAAGGCATGTATTGGCAGAGCTTTTCCTTTGGGATCAGCCTCTATTACTTTGTTACCAGAAAGTTTCTGACACACTCATATTACCTCTTATTTGAGGAAAAGGAGGTGATGGTGTTTAAGATGGTATTATATAGCAGTATGATTTAATAGCCGATATTTTTATAATTGTTCTTTGTATAAGCACTATATGGCAGCATAAGGAACCTGTGCTCAAATAGTCTTTCTCTGCAAAGCTTCAAGTGTTGAGCCGCTGTGTTATGGACTCCTGGAGGATTTGAGAAAAATGCTTATAGGAACAGGGTCTTTCCATATTGTGAGTTCCCCAAGTCTGGTGTATGACATGTAAATTTCTAGTTGTCTCTTCATTTAACTAAAGTAGAAATCAAGCTCCTTTCAGATCTCATTTCACATTTGACTTTTCATGGTGAATAATAGCAAATTGCAGTGTTTGAGAGTGAAAATTGCATCAACAGAGGTATATTTATTATTTCTGATTTAGAAAAATGTTTGTTCTTTCTGAAGGTTATCAGTGGTCATCTGGGCTGGGTGAGATGTATTGCAGTAGAACCAGGAAATCAGTGGTTTGTTACTGGCTCTGCTGACAGAACCATAAAGGTAAGAGGTTGGAAGAAATTACTGACAAAGTTTGCAGGGGGTGGATTTTTTTTTGTTCTCTAGTTATGTAAAAATGTCTTCAGCCCTTGCAAGCAATTTCTTTGTAACTGTTTGCAGTACAATGAACTGCAGAACGTTTTCTTTTTTCTTTTATTGCTTTGCCATAAAGGATTTGTGGAGTAGTACTACTTCTTTTCTTGATATTTTATTTATTACATGGTAATAAATGTATTGCTAATAAATGTATGGTAATAAATGTATCTGGAAAGCAAATGTTTTTTATCGTATTTTAATTTACAGCGCAGCAGAATCAGTTTTATCTGGGCTGTTTACCCAGACTACCATTGTAGATCTTTTACCTGTCTACCTTAAAATATTTATTTTGATGCAGATTTGGGACCTTGCTAGTGGCAAATTGAAATTGTCTTTGACGGGACACATCAGTACTGTACGAGGAGTGATAGTAAGCGCAAGAAGTCCATACCTCTTTTCTTGTGGAGAAGACAAACAAGTGAAATGCTGGGATCTTGAGTACAATAAGGTAAGCTGTCCTTTCTTTATTTGATTTAATTGGTGGTGGCAAATATAAAAATCAAAGCGTTTAGAATATTCTTTCAATTATCCGTTTGTTTTTTGTGGTTTTTGTTCATCTAGGTTATCAGGCATTACCATGGTCATCTTAGTGCTGTCTATGGCTTAGACTTGCATCCAACAATAGATGTACTGGTAACATGCAGCAGAGATTCAACAGCACGAGTAAGTATAGCATTGTTGCATTTTAACATCTTCATATGCGTGTTTCAATGTCTTTCATTTGTAAAAACAAGCATTTACCAAAAGTGAACATCAATCTAGATGAAATACTCAGTTGATTTGTGTCAGCTTTGTCTTACGTTGTTGGTAAAACTGAAGCCAAATAAACAAACATGCGGTGTCACTTCAGGATAACATTTTATTTCTTAATTTAGTAGGTAGACTACATAGTATATATAGGATTGCATAGTTTTTGAAGATGGTGTGGATCTGTAGTGGCTTGAATTATCCGTATGCCTAGAAATTCATTGGGAGGCTCCCTGCTTGCCTTGAAGTTTGCCAGCTGAGGCAGTTTTGTGATGAATTGTTGGATGAAAAATGTGACCTAAACACCATTATGTAACCTGTACGACTATGGCAGGAAATCATGTAATCAATGACAGTGCCTAAAATATATCAAATATGCACCTGTTACTGACCTCTGTCATATTTACTGTGAATTCCTAGATTTGGGATGTAAGGACAAAGGCCAGTGTGCACACACTATCGGGACACACAAATGCAGTAGCGACAGTGAAGTGCCAAGCTGCAGAACCACAAATTATTACAGGTATAGTGGGCGTGTTTTTGGGAGTACTTTTAAAAAAAGTAATTTTTTAATGAAAAATGAATGTGTTTGTTCAGTAATTGTGTGAGGTTTGTAACAGTATCTTGGTGAATTTAGTCAATTTCTCTTACTAGTTTTCTGTTGAAAATGGGCCATGCAATGGTCCATAGTGTTAATGATGTGTTTAAGCCAACACGGCAATGCATTGTTTGAATGTTTTTCTGCACTTTTTTTCTGGTTACATTTTATGTTGTAATATGTATTGAGACTTGCATTTTCTGTGGTATTTCACAGTTCTCCCCAATTCAGTTAAGAAGTGTCCAGTAACCATGGTTAAGTGTTCATCTTCTTATCTGTTATGTCAAAATCTAACTTTGCAGTGTAACTTCTTAGTTCATCTTGAATTTCAAACTGAGTAAAAGACTCTTGCAATCCAGCATCTTTTCTGTCTGAGATAGCGTTAGAACAATATTTTTGTCTCTATCCCATCTAAATTTTTGGCTGCCTTATCAAAGTAATGATTGTGATAGAATCAATGTGATGGTTTCTACTATTTTTTTAAAATATTCTTTTCATTGTAGGCAGTCATGACACAACCATACGGCTCTGGGATTTAGTGGCAGGAAAAACTCGTGTTACTCTAACAAATCACAAGAAATCTGTAAGAGCAGTAGTGCTACATCCAAGACAGTAAGTCTTCTTCATTCTTTTACACTTTCACAGTTCAAAGCTTTGGAAGGTGACAAAGCCACTTTGAATGATGATTTAGAATGGCAGGGCATAATAATGTGAAAAACTAATGCACTCAGAATGATGTAAAAATGTATGTAACAATTATCAAATACTGTTTACTACACTGATTGTGTTTCCCTAGTATTGGCATTGGTGTACATTAGCAATCCTGAGAATGTCTTATATCCCACAGGGTTACTTTATGTGTCTGCCTTTCATTCAGTCCTTAAAAAAACCACTGATACAGAGCTTGTAAGGCTAATAACAAATATGTAACTGAATGATCATTGGGAGAAAGTGAAGTAGTTTTGTAATGTGCCATTGCATGTGTGATTATTGTTAAAGGATGCAGTGATTAATAAAATGGCCTTTTTTTTAGAATATGTGGTTCACTGCACAAGACATTTCAGCCTAACCGGCTGTAAAAAAGAAACTTGCTGTGAGAATTGAATCTTTGAAGGAGATGTTGGAAGGGCTCTGAATTTAGCATGCTATATTTTCATGGACCAACAGATGCCTATTTGGATAAATCTTCATTAAAAAGGGAATTTACATAGAACTCCAGTACTCCTGGGAGTTTAATATTTTAAAATTACATTTTATCAGTGCAGAAATTCAGAATCTTTGATATGAATAAATTCTGATCCTATCTGTACCTGAAAAATTTTATAGCCTGTTAGCTATAGCAGAGAAAACCACTAGTTTTACTTATATTCTGAGAAAAAAAAGTAATTCTTGTTTCAAATTCATCAATTAAACCTTTTTGAAAATAAGCTTGAGGTGTTCTTATCAAACAGTAGCAACTGTCAGCCTATATTTCAGTATTTCTGTATTTTTTTAATATTCTGGATGTTTTTGGAAATACTTTTTTAATTGTAGAATTTATTAACAGCAAATCACTTAGACATTGTGACAAGTGAAACTGTTCCTACAAGCTTTTGTATGCACTACCCAAATAACCGTGTAACTGCTTGCACATGTTAAAATGAAGGAATTTATTATCTTAGGGTAACTCAGTGGAAGAAATTATCTTTCTTAGTTATTTTTTTGAGTGCTTTATCCTTGGTTGTGTATTTTTGGAAGATGAGCCAATACTGGGCATTTTGCTTGGGGTTTGTTGCCTTTTTTTTTTTTCCTGTTACCTTTGCTGATGATGCCCTGATACTTGAAAATTTGTCTGAATAACAACTGATCAGAACTTAATGTGCATTTTAAGTATTTATTTACATATTAAATCCTATGCCAGATAGGATGCTATAAAGTTTAGACTATGGAAAGAAAGAAAACAATAGAAATGGTAATTCATGACTTCATAAAATTGCTTAATTTTATGTGAAGTAAATATGTCAGAAAAGCAGTTCTAGTATTAAGTAATTTTGCAACTAGCATTTAGCAGTAGTTTTAGTGAAGGACATTTGCTCTCCCTACAGCTATTCTGAACTTTAATATAATGTGTTTATTTTCTTTCAGTTACACATTTGCATCTGGTTCTCCGGATAATATTAAGCAGTGGAAATTCCCAGATGGAAACTTCATTCAGAACCTCTCTGGCCACAATGCTATTATCAACACACTGGCTGTAAATTCTGATGGTGTTCTGGTCTCAGGAGGTAAAAATGAGAAATACACATTTCCTGTCCATTCCCCCATGTGTGTGGCTGCAGGTCCTTAGGCAAAGATGCTCACTGAGCTCTGCTTTATCTGAGCCCATAAGCCTGCTACAGCACACCATTTCATTTATAGTGAGTAGGGCCACTTTTATCTTCTTGGATATTACTGAGCTGCACGCACAAAAATATATTGGAAGGACTTCTAATGTGCTGCAGGGAAGAGGTTTCCTCTTCTCCACCACTGGCTGCTGCTGCAGGGCTACAGAGTCCCTCCGTTATGATCTGCTGACCATTAGTGTCTCCTCAGGAGTTAGTGATGTGTTGATGCAGTGAAAAGGATAGAAGATATAGAAACATCTTGAGGATGTTTGCTATACTGCTTTGGTGTGAATGCTTCCCTGGTTTTTTTATGCAGCACAAATGCATTGGCTCTGTTATCTTGAAGTTTTCTGCACATATTTTCTGGTGTTATCTTTGTGTCTATTCAAAGATTGATAGCTAATCTCCAAATTTGATTTGGTCCTGTGAATCAAAGTCATGTTTACTCAGCAGTATTAAATGTTCTCCTGTTCTTAAATTAAGAAACTAGCCACTTGGCTCCAGTGCCTATGGGAGGATTTGGTGTCTATTGTGATACATCAGTTTAATTCTTTTATTCAAAAACTTCAAGGATTTAATATCATGTGATACATTAGAGTATCACCAGCTCACTGGGAGCTCATCTGTGAGCTCCCAAAATCTTAGAACTATTAGTTTTATATTCAAGTACCTGTATTGTGGGAGTAGAAAAAGCATCCCGAATGCTTACTGTTTTCTGATCATGAATAGTTTAATGTAAGAACTTTTATCTCACATAGTAGGTAGCATTCTTCTACATATTACATGACACTCTAATAAAAATCTTTTATTCAAAATATGTGTTACTGAAACCATAATCAGAGCTTTTTATGTTTGTCCAAGACCATTTTTAGTGACAAGCTTTTTGGAAAGTGGCTTCTAGAAATCCCAGCTGGATCTATTTGTTAAGTCATTGTGCCTGCATAGGAGGGATAGGAGTACATGTGTTTATAATGTAGTTGCTCTTATAAACAGGAAATGAATAAACTGTGTGGAAAAAGGAAGTGCTAATTTTACAACTTGAGAGATGAGCTCTAGAGAAACAGTCTTAACATTGTGTGGGAAAACATAGTTAAAGCAGGAGGCTAAATCCAAATCTCTGAGGTCCTAGAGGAGTTCCTGGGAGAGCTCTAGCAGTCTGAGGCAAATGAATTAAGAGGTGAGACTGTATTGCTCCACATAACTTGCAGAGCCTGAATTTTCACCTCTTGGTTTTGTTTGTCTAATGTTTTGGGTAGTTGCAAACAAGGATGGGACTCAATTCACAGCATCACAGGTGATAGACAGTCTGAGACAGTTCAATGAACTTGCAGAGGCAGATACTTGCGAAAAACATTTCTGCGTTTGTAACCAGAGCATGGAAAGAATAAAGTTAAGTTACACCATGAAGCACTGAAATGCACTTGGTCCCATTTGATACAGTGTGTGCTGTAGGCTGGGGATGTGAAGTAGGATGGAAATGTGCTAAGCAGGAGTCAGAAAATAGCCAGTTATATTGTTACCTTATCCTGGTTATGTTTTCAGGTATATATAAAAATTTGGATAAAGCTGTGTTTGACAAATGGCTCATTCATAGTGAGAACAAGAACTTAACAGAATACTTATATTTCATTATTATTTGAAAACACTTCTAGAACATCCTTGTAAGACTTTTCTATGTTAGTAGTAGAAGCTTAAAAAAACCCTTTTCCTTCTCCACATAAAATTTTAATAAGTTTATATTGTGACTTTTAAAAAATTAAAATTTGAACATTGATTACCCCTTTACATCCTCATGCTATCTACAGCAACTTCAAAGAAGTTGATGCTGAATTAAAATACACTGAGGTTACCTTGGAGTATTCTACTGTAGAAATACTTGTCTTGAAACATCTGGATTTCTCGTCTAGCTGGCAGCTGTGGAGAAATTTAAATTTTAATAGATCTGCTTTGGCTAGATAATGCTTTGGGAGGGTATTGTTTTTTGTAACTGAAAAGTTGTCTTGAGAGCATCCTTCTGAATACAGAGTTCAGATTGCTGTGAATGCCCTGTAGCTGATTCCAGTAGCAGTAAAATGGCAGTGGTTTAACCTGTATTTGGAATAAAACATCTGCAAACATTAAACCTACTTTGCATTATATAAGATGTCCTAAATGTCCTTAATCTCTTTGGCAGGATGATGCCTCTTTGTTCAGCTTTAATGGAGCTACTGAACAGGGAGCTTGATATTCAGAATGCCAGTCCTTACTGTGCTTCCAGAGCAACTTGCTGCAATTGCCTTTTAATGTAGTGTATAATCTCTCTGGGTTGTCTGATGAAAACTGAGTGAGATTGTCAGGAAGCTTCCATCAGCCTTTCTTAACTAAGAAGGAAAACAGCAGAAAATAAGAAAACTTTTAGGGCATACTGAGCTATTCTACATCAATGTTATGTGATGTATTCCTGATGTATATATTAGTTGTTAATGCTACTGTTTTTAGCAAACAGATAGAAATCAACTGGTCAAAATACTAAGTTTGTTTGTTTGTTTGTTTGTTTGTTTTAGCTGATAATGGTACTATGCATCTTTGGGACTGGAGAACTGGATACAACTTCCAGAGAGTACATGCAGCTGTACAGCCAGGCTCTTTGGACAGTGAATCAGGAATATTTGCTTGTGTTTTTGACCAGTCAGAAAGCAGATTGCTAACTGCTGAAGCTGATAAAACCATAAAAGTATACAAAGAAGATGATACTGCGGTATGTCAAAGTGTCTTTTTAAAGTATTTTCAGGAAATAAAAAAAAAATTATAGCAAATATAACACGTCTATAAGAGACGTGTACAGACTTGTGTAATCCATTTTATTGAAGTTTGAAAGCCATATATAACAGCATTAAGAGGACAGTAGTTAGTTTCTGCATTCCTAATTCTTATTATATGATATAGTACAAATTAGTGTCAGGTCTGTCGACTCTTCTGCAAAACACCTTCATGATGAAGTTTGGAGAAATCTGAGTTTTGAACCCAGTGGGGAACTGTGTGGGGTTGTATTGATCAAAACATGGGAATTAGCAAAAGGATTGGACTTTAAAGATTTATTGTACTTCCGTATATGATCTAGATTAGTTATTGGCCTTGACCATTTTGAGAATTCAGAGTAGCTTATTTTCAAACTGTTATTCTCAAATCTGAATCAGTTTACCAATGGAGAAGACAATAGGTGATTATATAGTTTATCGGTGTATGTCTTCTATAAGGATTTTTATTGTACCTTGGAATTTTTGCACTGAATTAGAGTTGGAGCAACTCTTAGATATAAAGGAATAAGAAATGTTGTATCCATTTTGCAGTTGGGCAAACTGCAGACTCTGTGGCATCTGCCAATACTGATGTTGGTATCTCTGGAAGGACTGTCACAGGAATTCTTGTTCATGTGCTTTGAGAACCACAATGTTGTTTCTGAAATGCCATTGGCAACTTGAATTTTTGCCTTGTTGGAAAAAGAAAAAGAAAACAACAGAACAAGTGTTGCTATGTACATCAGACAGTGAGATGATAGAAAATTTCATCTGGGTAAACTAATTACGTAGTAAATTGGGTATTTATAATACTGCATGTGAAATAGAGTATATATACTTTATGAGTAATATTTTAATCAAAATCCTAATTATAGGTGAGTTTCAAGTTTAAAATTAAAATCCTTACAAGATTTTTCTTTTCCCTTTAGACTGAAGAAACTCATCCTGTCAGCTGGAAACCAGAAATTATCAAGAGAAAACGATTTTAATGCGTCAACATAGCACTTCTGTAATTTTGTTTTGGCCTTCCTGAGAGCATTCAGTCACATTTTGTTCTGCCTAGAACAGCAGAGCAAAAAGTCAGCTAAGTCATTGCTATTTCAACATGTTTTATAATAAATTTTATTTCTCTTTCCTTTTGTCTTTCTTTGTTGTGATCCCAGCAAACCAGTTGCAGCTGTTAACTTTGTGGAGCACGTATAGTTCATGAAAAGGATAGATGTGCAGGTGGTTATTTTTTTAGACTTACACACTCAATAGATTCTTATAAAAATATTTTGATGAGCTAGGTTTTCTGAAAGACCCTTACTTGACCTCAAAAGTTAATTGCGAATTCATGCATAGGAACCATCTTCTGGGAATTTCTTGGGGACGCTTGGATTTTAGAGCAGTATTGTTTACTGTACATATGCTGAATAGATACTAAATTAGAGTAACAGAGTAATCTGGAGAGAAGCAGGACAGCACAATAATAAGGTAGTTTGCTTTATAAACACAGCCACTGAGCATTGCTGGTGCTGTGTTATGGAATGAAACGGATCTTCAAAGTGTTTCTTTCCCTAGGAAAACTTTCAAATGGAAGTACTCATCTTCACTTACGTTATTTCAGATTGGACCTTCTGTAGCAAGGACTGCTGTCCGAGTCATATTGTTCACAGTCGCTGCAGGATTAGGACCAGTTGAGTTCCTTTGTAAGTCAGCTGTTTTTAACGCTCATCCAAAGCATCTATGGCAGTAGAGTCCAGTGAACTTTTAAAACTGAGCTTGAGGAAAAAAAGTAATTTAAGCCTTCATTTTACAGTTTGCTGTCTTCCCATGATTTTAGGAAGGAATTTAAGATAAATAAACTCTTACTGAAAGATAATTTGTACTTCTGAAAGGACAAATGATTCATTGGCTTTACAAATAGTCACATAACAAGCAGCGAACATGTAAGCCTCCTTGCTGCTGCTTATCTGTCCTGTCTGTGCTGCTCTAAAGCGCTTCACAGGGCAGTGGAGGAAAAAATTAAATTATCAGGCCATTCAGTTGTTGGCAACTTTGCTAGTGGTGTTAATAGCTGCACTGGCAAGTTTTATGCTGGGTAAATGCTGAGACTTAATCTGTGGCCACAGCACTGATAGCAAGCAGTTCCCAGTAATTATTTCTATTTGCCAGCCTGTCTTCTTTCAAATCTGTGATTTATGTTAGAGAAATGAGTTATTTGCAATGTAACTTACAGAAAACCAGTAAAACTAAGTGTTGTTTATATTCTGAGAATTTTTGTCTTTTTTTTATACTGCACGGGAGGTCTTGTGTTTATAATTTGAATGTTTGACAATATCATTTTAAGGAAGTCCACGCTGCATAAATAACTGAATTCTGGTTGTTGTCTAAAGACCTGTTGTCTAAAGCAACTTCACAAAAAGGAAAGGGAGTATTTGGTGTTTACAAGTTGGATTAAAAATCTTTTATTTGAATGGTAACTTGAATTTTTCTGGATCTTGATTACAGCTCTTTCCATTTTAACTAATGCAAGAGGTAAAAATACAGGTTATGGCTTATGCATGTTGTATGCTGCTGCTAATGATTCGTTCCAGAAATCCATGAATTATTGCTGTTACACAGAATTTTCTTGCTCACAGTGAAGTCCTCTTTAGGAAACTAGAGTGGAGAGAAATAACTTACTTGAAAAGAGGTGGGATTGTAGAGGACTTTTCTTTTTTGGAAGTCTCTATTTCTTTTGATAGTTTGGAATTAGGATGGAGAAATTATGGATCTTGGCTCACTGTTCTAGCACATCTTTTCTGTACTGACATTTTCCTTTAGAAACTGCATTTATTCCACAGTTTATCACTCTGAAGAGATACCAGAAAGTGTCCTGCAGAACCTATGTATCTTCTCTGGACTTCTGTGGGAATCTGCTATCATGGGGCAGTGGCTGCCTGGGCATTCTTTTTTTGTGCCCTAGGTAAAGATTTGGTTTGTAAATTAAAGGCTGTGCACTATTACTTGGCATAATATGTTTCTTTTTGGCTTTCTAGTATGTTGTCCCAGTTGTGATTTTCTTCTTACTTGTATTCTTAAGCATTTGATTTTTACTTGTTCTTTTCCTTCCCAGCAGTTTTTTCTTCCCCTTGACAGTAATGTGAATATCATCACAAATACTTCTCTAACTGTTGTTTATGGTGCATCGAGATTATCAGATATCATTTAACCGCTTCTCTAGTTCAAAGCAAGCCTAGATAGTGAGTTGTGACACGCAGGTCTGATCATGTAGGATACGCAGTGACATGAGATTTGTCCATGTAAGTCATAAGGTGAAACAAAAGAGGAGGATCTGGTCTACTGGATGTATTTCCATGGTCCTGGAAAGCATCATGCTGCAATTTCAGTTTAAGTAATCTTGAATGGGAGAGTAATCTCAGAAAATAATTATTGTCCTTAGTTTCATAAAATTTCATGTTGTCTTCTGTATAGGATCAAATAATTTCTACCACTAACCCTGACTTTTGTTTTATACTGTACATAATTGCAGAGAAGTAAGAAAATGGTTTTTGTTTGTAACATAAAAAAGTGTAACTGGTAAAAGTGATAAATTTCAAGATCACTCTTGGCTGTATACTAAAGCATACAGTGTAAGCTATGCAGCTGAAATGCTGTTGTTTGCTGGCAGCATGAAAGTTGTGCAGAACAGTATGTCTTTGGCAACTTAAAGGCTTACAGATGTTAAGTCTTTAATAGCCAATTTCTTTTCAGTTCTGTTGTGTTAGAATTAAAGTGCACCTGATGTGACAGCAATTTAGCCATCAATAAAACCTTCCATACAATATGAATTCATGTCTCTTTTTCCATTGTGGTTTTTGTAGTAAGAAGAACAAAAAACAAATATGTACTGAAAATGAAATTCTAATTTAGGATTAGAATGGAATGTTTCCCATAGTACTGTGACAAACATTTTTATGCATCAGCTGTAATGGGAAGAGAGAAAGTATTGATTGTTGTTTTCTGGAGAGCTTCCAGTCTGCATGAAGGAACTAGCAAAAGAAATGCAAAATTGTTCTTGTGTTTTCTCTGATATGTTTAAAAAAAATATATTCAAACATCTTTGGAGTAAAGTATGAGTTCTAAGATATCTTGTGGATGAGAGCTTTGTGGGTGGAAGAAAGCTTAAACTAATTTTGTCTTAATGGAACCAAATTAAAAGAATATTTCTCTACATGTCGTAAAAATTTGATCATGAAATCAGTGGGGGGTTTTATTACTGAATATTTCACACAGTGGGTTTTTGTTGTTTGTTTTGGGTTTTATGTTTTTTACCCTCCTCTGAGTTGGAAAAACTATCAGTCTGGCATGTCACGTATGTAAGTATCAACACAGGGTGTATTGATTTTGTAGTCAAAATACCTCATTCTTTTTTAGATGAGGCTTCTAAACTTTTAATACTACCCCTAAGGAAATGCTGCATATTTGGAAATTAATGAATGCCAGTAAGCCTGATCAGCTAAAAAAGGGTCAACCTACAATCTTGTTCTACAAAGTTAACACTAGATTAAGTAGGACTTGAAACTAGCATAAATATAACTTTCTTTGGAAGCTGTTCCATAAGCAGAATATGCAGTTGGTGAATCACTTTGGTCCTTTGAAACTTGGCAGGCAAGTAACTACAGATTTCACTGGTGGTCATTTAGGTAGAGCTTGTCACTTTGGGAGATTCCCATCTGATGCTTCTTTAATGACAGCGGCTAAGAATCAGTTCTCTGGCTTTTACATCTTGAAGTCTTACGAATTTGGCTCTGTGCTTAGTAGGAAAGAAACTGGCTGAAAACTGGGAAAAAAATGTTGGATGAAAAATGAATGGCCATTCCTGTCTGAAGAGGATTCAAGACTTTTGATGCCCAGAGCGGAATCTGCATTTCTTGTTTTGATATTGAGTAAGGTTCTGAAGTAAGCTCAAATTACAGGGTAGCAAAATGCAAATGCTTCTGTGAACACTTTTTCACATGCATTTTTCCTATGCTTCCTTATCTTATAAAATCAAATTAATCAGGAGTCATGCAGTACTGTAATCTCATCTAGGATGCATCAGAAGCTTGAAAAATACCTGCGTAAGCATTCATAAATTTTGATGTTGGAAATTACCTTGAGAGGTTTTCCAGCAAAATAACCAAATCTAGCCAAGAGAATTTTCTCTTTAATTAGAATGTTTTCTACCAATTGCTGAAAAGCTGTGCTCAAATATTTTTTAAGGTATACGTCAAACTCTGTAAGGTCTATTTGCTTTAGATGGGAACTATGGAGTTTCTAGGTGTGGACTGGTTTGGTTTTTTTTCCCCAAATGTTCTCTTGAAAGTCTTTTAAATAATTTTATTTCAGGGATTTGTAGGATCAACCCTTAGGTGTTACTGTTTTCCTATTGCTGCTTATATTGAATCTATGTAGTACAGGCTTTGTAATGTTTAGTTGTGTACCTTTAAGTCAATAACATGTTAAGTTCCTTCAGATGCATGTTGTCACCAGGGTTTTGTGAACCTTTCTCTTTTTTAACAAAAACCTTTTTTGTTAACCCCTTTCTCTAGGGTTTTTGTTTTGAATACAGAGCACAAAAGCCCCAAACTTGTATCTAAAGCATGGATTCATGGATTAATTGGGGCACTTGCCTGCAAATTAGACCTCAGCAGTACAAACAACAATTGAGCTAAATGTCCGCCTCCAGTTAAGGAAGAGTGAAATCACTGACAAGGGAACTGGAGGTGAAAATGCTTGGCAAAACTGTATCATGCTGGGGTTTTTTTCTTTCCTCAAAAAAACCCCCCCGCACCTTACCCTTGTGTTTAAGAAGTGCAGATAACGTATGAAACGCTCGTTTCTGCCAATATTTTTTTTTGCAGCCTCTGCTTCATTTTTTAGGGAGAACACGTGTCTTTGCAAGACATGTCACCTTTGCTCTTTCTGTTGCAGTAACAACTCTTGGATGCTGCAAATGGCTTTTTTTTCCAGCTAAGAGAAGGGATGAAGGGTTAAGCCCTTCAGAGCAAGGGAGAGTCAATGCAGCGTCAGTATGAATTATGAGTACCAAGGGGGACACCTAGAGAAAAATAAGACTTCCTAGAGACCAGATAAGAAGGAACTGTGATTAACTGAAACCTCTGAGAGGGGTGAAAAGGACAGTGGAAAAACTAAGATTAGAAGAGAGCTATGACATCTGAAAGGAAATATTTGAAAACTTGCTGCATTTACCTGTCAGGCTGGAGTAGAGGAGGCATTTCTGGATTAGATAAACGCTGCAGGGGTATGACTGATAGAATGGAAAAGCAGCAGTGTGTTAATGTGGGCGCAGACAATGTGGCGAAAATGAAAATGGGGGCATCATGATGCAAATAAATCTTTTGACAGCAATCTATATATGTATTTATGAAAAGTGCAGGTGGTGTATGTGTGTGCATGTTCTGGTGCCCTCATGCTCTGATACCCAAAGTACTGTAGAAAATTCAGTGGCATGTGAAGAATTTGCGGAGCAACGTAGAATGAAGAGTCTGGAGGGGTTTGCAGCTGCCCTGGGGTTTTTACTAAAGAAGCACTTGCAAGCACAATCCTAAACAAGGAGTAAGAGTACAGCGTGAAGAGTGAAGCTAAACTTTGCATGATGAATATCTTTAAAAGATGGGTTAATTTTTTTTTTTTTACAGCTGGTTGAATGTAAGGATTACTTCACAACACTGAGTTTGTTTCTTTCTGGCAGGTAAATGGTGAGCTGAGGAATGAGATGTGAGTTTGTAGCCACAGAATGTCATGCTGACAGGATGCATTGCTGTTGGGAGACTATCGTGATAAGTAAGATTGTGGCTTGTGCAATCAGAAAAACTTTTGTGCTGCATCCAACAGTGTTGGGGTTTTTTAACTGGGAGAAGACACTACGAATAATAACATGACTTAACTATTTCCAAGTTAATCCCCTTGACAAGCAAACTTCCTGCATTGACAACTAGAGATCTGCTCTCAATAAAGGAGCAATATAGATTATGAATAGAAAAATTCTGTACAAAAATTTGAGCATGGCTTCAGCTGCCAGATGAATCAAATTTCATGTCCTGTAAGTATATTAATTCTTTCCTGCTCCTTCAGTTTCTTTTCTTCCCATGCAACATGGTAATGAGCATTCTTCTTTTAAAGAAAGCATGGCAATGCAAACCAAGAATCTATTAATTCTGCTAATGGCTGTTCTATTTTGCAACTGAAAATCCCACTGAAGTAGTTTTATTATTCTGTGTTGCTCTAAATCAGTATTTTAACAGGAAATTCAAAAGTAACTAGCAACTCAATCATGGTAGCTAAATTATAGATAAAATTGAATGCTGCTAATTCAAATTAACATAGTGAAATGCAGTTTATTTTTCTTACTGAGCAAACCTATTGTGGGTAGTATTTTTTTATTTATTTGTAGGTGAGGTTGTAAATGTCCTTTAATTATATAAGAGGAAAGAAAACTGCTCCCAGTGTTTCTCCAGTTTTAACGGTGTTGGTACATGCATTTACCAGGTTAATGATGCAGTTTTTCTCTAGCCATTAAAATAGAATGACTGTGCCGTTAGTGGCACAGCGTGTTTCAGACTTTCACACGGTGAAGAAAAGGTCCACACACTTTCCGTAACATAACCCCGTGGTAGTGCATTTTTTAGTGTGTTCTCTCACAGGTTTCAATTTCTCCTTCCTTTTTGTTTTTAGGCAACTTTAATGTTAAGACATGGGAAGCTATCTCTAGCCTGTATTTCCAGTCTGATTCATTATGATCTGGTAACTCCTTTCTTTTCTTCCATTCCCTCAAACTTGTCCTGGCCTTCTTCCATCAGCAACATCCCTGAGGAGCCTGTGAGATCCTCAGCTGTTCTGGAGAGTTTCACGTTGTCCAGGTGCAGTGTGCAGTGCTGTGGATTGCTCTTTCAGGTCCCCATGTGGCTCAGCCTCGCTGCATCAAACGCTGACAGAACTATGAAGTGCGAGCGTTTTGTGATGGGAAGTTGTTCTTGGAGACAGGGAAAATATTGACTGGATAACCTGATATGTGACCTGATGTTGACAGGTAACTGTTCTGCCTCCGTCTTCCCAGTTCTTCTCACCGTACTTGATTTTTCTTGAGTAATCCTAGTGATACAGCACGCTGTGTTTAAAATGCGCCAGTGGTTGTTAGCAACACCACACACTGGTTTTAATAACAAAATCTGACAACAGATTTCACATTCTTGGCAGAAAAAAGGCAAGCATTAAAGCCTGAGACTGAATGAGACACACACCAAGGAAACCTAAACCAAAGTGAGGAAGACGTTCAAGTAAATCATGTCTGTGGGCTTTTTCATTTTAGCCCCCTGTTCAGCTCAGCAGTGTGCCCAGAAACAGTTGCTTAGCCTCAGCTTCCTACTAGGAAAAGTTCAGACCAACCAGCTGACTGTCCTGGGAAATGCTTGTATTGCTGAAGATGAGCAGGGGAAATTCTGGTGAGGGAAGGCCAAAATGTCTGAGTGACAAAGCTGTCCTTGTGATGAGAAAGTGTCTAGTTTTTTCTGTTTCACAATTTCTTAATTTCCTAAACCCCATAAATAGTTGCTATGAGCAGTGTAGTAAACAGATCTAGTATTGCAGGTAATACAGATCTTTAAATTATGGTCAGAACTTCTAAATTGTCTTAAAATTGTAGACTTGGGAATACTCCAGGACACGTAAGTCTCACAATAACATGGTACCTATAGAGGAATTAAAAAAAAAATCACAAACAAAAAGCCATTATAAATAATGGTCACCATTAGGAAACAGGAGAACTTTCTACTCAGCAGAATATTGC